CCCCCCCCCCCCCCCTTTTCAGTTTGACCGCCTCGCACATCGCGCGCATACCTGCGCCGTGTCTGTACCATAGTTTCTCTGCCCCTGTTCCTGTTCTATTGCTGTGAAGAAGAATTGACCTTTCCCCAAAGCACACAAACTGTGAAAGTGTGGAATGACGATTGCAACTGGCGTGTCTAAAATGCAGGGCTGGAACTCTACTCCGCGAGCTCGCGATCGAGCAGACGCTGGAGGGTGGACTGCTTCCACGTGGGCAGCTGGGCATCGAGCGTGTCGAAGACGTGGTGCTCCTGTACGTTGTACTGCTCGTAGATGTAGTCTACGGGCACCACGTCTTGGTCTGCATGTGCCTCTGGCGGTGGCGCATGTTGTGTCGCCAGTGAGCTTGCTCGTGCCGGAATCGCGATCTCGGCCGCGCCTTCCTGGGGGGGTGGATCGGGTAATGAGTCGGTCGACTTTGTCGGCGGCGTGCTACTCGTCGACTGGCGCTTGGCAACCAGCGCATCGAGCTGGCCCGAAGCCAGCTTGTCGCGACGCCAAATCGTAAGTGCGGCGCGATTGGTGCCCTTTAGCACCGACTCGAGCTCCTCCTTGTCCGGCACGTACAGACGGGCCTCGAGTGTCTGTACGAGCGCCAGACACACGCGGTAGATCACCGAATCCGTCTCGTCCAACAGCACCACATCCCACAGCCGCATCACCGTGTCCACGTCCAGCCAGTGCGTCCACAGCGTCGAGACCCAGTCGCGCAGCACCACGCGATACAGCTTGACATTGTGCGCCAGCAGATTCGCGTACACCTTGGGCATCTGGTCCGCAAGCAGCGTCTCGAGAACGCGCTCGAAGCCGCGGATCTCGCGCTCTTTCGGAGCCACAGCGTACGCACTTCCAGTCTGGCCTCGAGGCTTGGTCTCGGGCGACAAGTGGCCTTCCGCAAGCTTGGTCGGAAGCAGCGAGTAGAGCGCCTTGAGCCACGGCTTGGAATGCAGCAAGTTGAGCAGAGCGATGAACGCCGTGTTGATCGGCATGTTGATCAGCAGCACAGCCGCCAGACTCGACGTGCCCGGCTGGTAGACGTCGATCCCGCGTCGGGCGTAGATGTCTTCGGACTCCGCATCCTGGGATGTAGCCTCATCCTGGCACGTCTCGCCCGATGCTGACGCACCGGGCAGCGCGACCTTGTTCAGCAACGGACTTGCATGCTGATGCCGACTGGCGGCTTGATCCGCGTCTCCCGCTCCATCCAGCTCCGAAATTTGCTCCATGCGCACGAGCACGAACGCGCGGCACAGCCGCACGAGATCTTCGTGCAGCGGACCATTCGACTGGAACAGCTTGAGACTCGGCAGGGTCCTTTCGGTGTCCTCTTCGATCTGCCGTTGGACTCGCGGCGGGATCATCTGCCCACCTGCGCTGCCACCGCTACCAGCTGCTTTCCGCTCAGTCTGCTCGAGCAAGTTGCGCGGCAGCATGAGCGGGTTGCCGATGGCCAGTGCCCAGACACGCCCGCGGATGCTCGGCGGGGCACCCTGCCACCACAACTTGGAAAGCTCGGGATCCTTGCGGGCACGCGACCACGAGGGCAGGATCTCCTTCTCCCATCGACCGAGTGCCTGGCGCTGCTCGTCCTGACGCCGGCGCTTTCGCTCTTCGTCCTCCTCGCGCTTCTTGCGCTCGAATTCCTTTGCGGCCATCATCATGCGCTCAAAGTCGGCACGGTGCTTGATCTCCTCGCCCTTGGACTTGGCAGGAAGCGTGGTCATGCGCGTTCTCGACTCGACGGGGTCGTTGGAGGCGTTGCTGGCAAACGACGACTTTCGACGTTTGGAAGTATCGACTTGATCGGCTTTGTCCGTCAGTCCTGGTGACGCAGTAGTGGTGCTGCCCGCAGGCGGCACGGTTAGAGAGGCGTCATTGCTGTCGTCGGCTTTCGAATCGGCATCCTTGGCAGCTTCAGCAGCTTCAGCAGCCTCCGCAGCGTCCACTTCTTCGGACAGCGATGTGGCCCCGCGTCCAGCAACAGGATGACCTTGGCTGGATCCTTGCCCTGAGGCAGAACCTGATTGTGATGACGATCCGGGACCGTGGTCCTGTGCCCGCGGCAGTGCCTCCGGGATGGTGCGGGGGCTGAGCGGAATGTCCGAGACGACGCTGATGTTGCCGTCCTCGTCTGCTGCAAGCAGGACTTTAGCAGAGCTTTCCGAGACTTGAGGCCTGAGAGACGGGTCATTTCCCTCTGGGTGAGGACTGTGGGCGTTTGACACGACAAAGGAGGTGCGACGCGAAGGACTGCGGCTGGGAGAACGCGTTGGGCTTGCGGCTCGGCTGGAGGCGGCGCTTCTACGGCCACGGTAGCGTCCCTCGACGCTGCGACTGGCCGAAGGACTGTCGAGGCTCCGTGAGGTGCTGTCCGGATCGGGACTCAACGGAGGACTCAGCTGGATATGTGCCGACAGAGTGGTGGGAGCGGGTGCGGTCTCGTTTGCTAGTTTCGGCGATGCCGATGGCGCCGAATTCAGGGCAGCTACGTCGTGGCTGGAGACGCTGTCACGGCGGATTTGCTCGGCGGTTCTTGCTGAAGATGCCAGAGGATGGAGAGAGCCCGTTGCAATGTCCGCGACCGAGGGCTCCGCCTCCGGGGCGTCGAGTGTGATGTCGACAAAGTTGAGGTCTGCTTTGTCAATGGGAGTGGGAGCGTGAAGGGATTCCGCCTCCACACCCCGCTGCCGAGCTGGGACGCTGTGAACCAGCTGAGGCTCGGTTGGATCGACATGACGCGAGAAGGAGATGTCGGCCTCCTCGTCGTCTTCTGCGATGGCGGAGTGAAGCGAGGTTGCGGCTAAAGATGCTGCCAGGCCGTTGGCTGCTCCCTCGTCGACGTTGTACTTTTTTGGTGGCACCGAATCGACGCGACGATGGGAAGACGCGCTTTGCCTTGACGACGCTGATTGTGCAATGGAGATATCGCCGTCGGCGGTATCATCGCCGACATTTCCACTGTCACTGGACTCCTCGTTGCCTCGAGCAGTCTCGATTCGATCAGAAGCGATTATCTCGTGTTGGTGTCCGTCACCTTCTGCGTCAGTGGGCGATTCGCTTTCTGAGTTTTGCGCAGAAACTGTGACGCTATCGTGCGAAGTGTCGTGCGATTCGGCAGAGCCCGATACGGAGGATGAGCCTTCCGAAGGGCGCTCTTCTCGCTCCCTAGGGTGTTGTGCTGGCGGATCCTCTGAAGACATGACGATGTTGCTTTGTCGAGAATGCGAGCTAACGCCGGAGTCCGTGCACCATGGACATGTGCTGACGTGGTCGAGACACCGTGAAGTGGGGAATGGAGTGCATACGTAAGAAGGCAAGATGCCGAGCGTTAGGGACGGCAGGCATTCAGGAGCGGCTGGAATTGGACCCTGACGCCCACCGGGGGAGTGGCTGTGATTTTAGGTGGAGCGCGGCTTCGAAGAAAGTCGGCTCGGCGTGGCTAGAGGGTGAATATTTTACACGATCGGCTGAGGACATCCCCTCTCCGCTTCAAGGATTGAGGACGGCCGGACCTGCGTGCATTCATGGGCCTCTCGGATGGCTTCAGGCGGCTCAAGATTCTGTCGGAGAGATGCCGAGCAGCTGCGGCGGGGCTCGTGCGGCCTTGCGCAGCAGAGTGAGCTCTACAAGCTGCTCGGCGGTTTCCGATAAAATTGCCCAATGCACTGCCCCAGCTTCGCCCAACGTGCTTGACACGCAGTCACGAAATTCGGACCACCCGAGGGCGAGAGGTGGAGAAGGATGCAGATCGGCCGTCCCGATCTTGCGCGCTTCGAGTCGCGTCGCGGAGTCGAGGCCAGGAGCAAGCGCGCAGCCGAAGCTCAAGCCACCTCGCGACTTCTTCGCGCTCACCACAGGGCCAGCAGCGCAAGTCTGCATCCGAACCTCTCGGAGGGATGCAAAAGATATCCGCACGCGCAGCACTCTCTTGCCCGACTCCCACCATCTACAAGACCTATCCCTAAACCAGCACCGCAACATCTGCAGCTCAACACATCTTGCATATCCACCAACCTGTGCCCCTTCTCCTGGCGCATCACACTGCCCAATCCATACCATCTACGACGAGCACGATCGTATCAGCAGTACCAGACCGTGCGACACGCGAACGCATCGACATTCACTCAAACAATGGGAACTGCACCACGTTAAAGCTGTCAAGCTGTTTTCCGCACTCGTCAGCGCTGTCTCTACTCTTCGTAGCAAGCCGGCTACGCCAACTCAGCAAACCCGCCGAGATATCGAGACCTCCTCCGCAGCGTCTCCGGAATCCCACGCTCCTTCTCTCAACATGGCGGTCACTCCTCGCAGCAGGACCGCTTCGGCGAACGCCTCGCCTTCCAAGTCCAACGGGCGCAAGCAGCCGGCCAAAGTCGCCATCGACTTTTCGGACGAGGATGACTCTGCAGGAACCCCGAGCAGGAAGACTGGCAAAGCCAAGGCTAAAGCCAACGCCACAGAGCCTATTGAGATCGCAGACGACGACGACGACGACGACGACGAAGACGAGGACGAAGACGATGACGCCGAAGAAGAATACGAGATCGAAG